TGGGCTGGGCCGCTTGGGCGGGTGAGTGTAGGAACGGTGGGTGAAACACATGTTGGAATTATTTTGCAAATGCAAACTTCCTGAGTGCCTTGCCAGTCAGGTCAGCGGATTTGCGGACTGCTCATATTGTGCTGCAATTTTTCCGAAGCATGGGCATGAGTAATGACTTGATTAGCGCTGCAAAATTCTGTTGCAAATTCCCGAAGCATGATTGATGGCAAGCTGATACTGAGAGTTCGGATTCCTCAGCTTTCAGTCAAGCCAGTCAAGCTTCTGTGTGGAAGTAGTCGCAACAACATATCCTGAGTTCTCAGCCTCAGCCCGACTCAATGAACCTTAGTCCTGACTCCAGCCCAAGCCCAAAACCTTAATAATTCACAAACACATGTCCAGAGTTTTCAAGTTTAAGCCACCTCAAGATTCAGACCTGCGTGTGACAGCAACACAACTGTATCACAATCACAAGTAGTAGTAGAGTAGATTGGCAGACTGATAGAAATGATGCTTTGGATGATGGTGCAGTTCATGTGTTGGATTGCTTCACATGGCGAATGCCAACGTTTCGGGGCGACTAGCACAGGGCGGTATCGGACAGACTTCAATGGGCTTTCCTTGGAGAGGTCAGGGCTATTGCCCAGCCCTGGCTTGCGTGCGGATAGAGTTTTTGGCATTGCGCAAGCATCAACAGAGTTTGTTTATCATAGTCTGTCAATGTTGGATGATCCTGGGATGGCGGAGCAGTATAGCTTTTGGCAGTCAATTTTTGGGCCAGAGCAACATGGGCGTCTGTATTACTTTTCCGTAGCAGATCGATCCGGTTTCCTGCAAAGGCCTGAGATTCCCATCGGAAATTTCCTTCGCCTCAAATCATTTTTTGTGACCTTGGAAGAGCAAGCGTGTGGAAACTTGATTTCTCGGCTAAGAGATGAAGGTTGTGAGCAGCCTTGGCCCGCAGATCCGCCGCCTACTTTGTGTGTGCGTGTTCCAGTAGCATTTGCGCAGAAAATTTTTGAGGGCGAATGGTCTCATTTTGCTTTGCCAGAGCCTGCACTGGAGCAATTGTTTCATGGTGCTGAGAGACAGCGATCCAGGTTGATGGGTTGGTCACATTGCCCCTTCTCAGCAATCAACTTTGCACAGCCGCCTTTCCCGCCAGCAGGAACAGCAGAGCCCTTCACGCATGCTACTGCCAGCTTTGTTGCTGACACAGTGAGAATGTGTTATGCTCGTTTGACTTCAGCAGGTGTGCAAGATGCAGATTTGTTGCAGTGCTGTCACTACGCCGCGCACTACTTGCAATCTTTTCAAGATGAACTAGACCCTGCAAATGCGCAAGCAAGTGCCTTAGCAATCCGAGGGCGTCTGAGCAGTACATCGTCAAGATTGCCATATAATGCCTTGTTTTTAGTGAAGTGCCTCATTCTTTGTTTCCACCTTCGTGATGCATCTACGCTTCGCAGAGTCCTTGAGCGTGCAGTAGATATCATAGTCCCAACAGGGTTTGCGGAAGCGGTGTTGCAGCCTTTGAAGGGTGGGGAGCTTAAAGTCCCCAGTGCTTCTAAGATCTCGAGGGCCCGCCTAACTGTGGATGTGGGTTTCATGCTTAGCCGGCAAGAGGCCAACAAATCCACCATGCGCAATTCAGTTCAATACGTCATGGCGGATTCATCTGTGCAGGGCCACCATGATTTTGAGCTTATCAGAAGCACCAGGTTGGATCTGAGCATGGCGTCAGACATGTTTTTGGCTGCCTTGGAATTAGTCAAGGTGTGGGCCGATCAAGTAGAGGGGCATGTTGCTAATCAGGGGTATGATTTGAGCAGCCATGAAAGGCGGCTTTATGATGTCATCTGTCCAGGTTTGTCAACGCATCTCTTCCCGAGTGTTGTGATTGGCTGCGGACATGCGTCATTATACCACAAATTTCATAGCCTGATGCACGCATTCTGGCTTGAAACAGGTGATGCTGTGTCCCTGGCTGATTTTGCTAAGAGCGTGTTTTCGTTCACGACTGACCAGGGAACTGAGGCCAGTTTCAGCAAGGTTCCTGTAGTCAAGGTTTCCACCCTTTTTCCTTGGGTCCCTGTGCCAGGGCCTTTTGAGGTCATAGAGGAACATGCATGGGCTCCGCCGCCAGATGCGGCTGCTTTGCATCATGCTGCGCAGATTGACTTGTCTGCGTCCGTTGGAATTCCCGGCATGCTACACATAGTCCATAATAGTAGCAGAGATCTTGCGCGTGGAATGCCCAATTTTGATCCTGTCGTCTCTCAGATTCAGCATGTGAGCAGGCTGCTGAGGCGACACGGTTCCAGGGAACGCCTCCTGCAAACATGCTACAATGACCCCACCGGGAGAGTGCTGCAAGCATCCATTCGCAAGTTCCATGCAAAGGTGAATGTAGGGCGCTGGGGCAGTGTTGCTGAATGTGTCAAGCAATTGCTTGAACTTGAGCCAATCCTGCGGTGGGGCTGGGACATGTCCAAATACGGGCAGGCCAGGCATGATGCGGCAGAGGGTATAGGTGTGGATATACGGGTGGTTGACGGTGCAATAACCTGCGCCAATTTCTGGGGTTATCTCCGAATGCTATCCTCCTTGACTCGTATGGTGCAGGCAGCATTAACTTGGTCGGAGTCATGCATCTGCCACGGTCAGCTGGATTTTCGAGAGTTGCCACCAGACGTCCGGCAACAATGGGCAAGGTGTCCACTAAGAGGTTGCAGGGCTCCAGAACTTGCAGCCGGCGAGTTCATGACTGTTTTGCGCCAAGTCTCCAGCAGTAGCCTTGCTCATTTCATGACCACACTTCCACGTGACATCGATGCTGCAGCTAGGGCTTCCTTGCTAGATGAGTATCAGCGTGGTAAGTCCCACCTGTTATTTGTGCTATCCATGCGTCTGCAGCATTGGCGGGTTGCGCCTTGGTCAATCTTCGGATGTGCTCACTTGAACACTAGAACCTCCAAAGACTTCGTTCGCCGTAGTTTGGGGCTGGCTTCACAACACCCGCTTGTGCTTGAATTTCAGACTGGAGAGCTGGCAGAGCAGGCTAACCATTACTTGGCTGAAGGGAGCAACTTGAAGGAGCTTCCATTGCTGTCGCAGTTCTTTTCAAAGCTGCTGTTTTGCCCCATCGCAGAACGACCTGTGGAGGGCGACCATGCTCAGGCCCGCCCTGCCTCTTCAATTATACCTTCGCACCCCTAAAGTCCCTTAACTTTGAATCCCTCAATATCCATACTCAATACCTTCAAGCAAGTGGCAGATGGTAGAGAGTAGGCCTAAACTAACTGTCTGACAAGCGTGTGTAGTCCTGCAGACTCTAACCCCAGGCCCCACAAATCCTGACGTGCAGGTGCACAAGAGGATTGCTCTGGCCAGAAATCACACGGCCGCGTATGTGAGCATGAGCCGCAGGCACGCCTACGCTAGACTTTAGATTTTAGATTGTTGAAGGGTCCAGAGTAGGATTGTTGTTCAGAGGTCAGTAGGGAGGAGGCAGGGTTCAGGTTGAAGTTGGGTTCCATTTCAGGTGCAGTGCAAGGCTTGAAGATTTGCTGAGACATGGTCGCTGTCACCCATGTACCCTTGACATTCCCAGTGCTCCTCAATTTCCCGAACCCTTCGCCCTCTCGCCGCCTGCCAGGATGCCGCTCATTGAATCCGCGGTGGACAACAACCCTTCCTTCCTGAAGGACTTAGCTAGCTTTGTTTCAGACGTACACTCGCCAAACCTTGCGTTGAAGAAACTTGGGCTGAGTCACCACCCCAGTGCTGCGCGCATCCAGGGGTATCGGGATCCTCTGATTGCAAAAATCAGTTACCATTGCGACCCACAGACCCTTTACAAGCCTGCTCCTGCGTGGGACGACATTGGGCCCCCAAAGCCTCCTAATCCTAGCATGCTTCTGAATGGTTCGGCTTCAGAAGGACCAGGCAGCAGCAGCAGTGCTAAACCACAACATGCCGCATTGGAGGATGCAGCAGTGACAGGACGTTCCATGGAGGGTGGACAGCAGGATCAGCAGGGTGGGGGGTCTGGGGGGTCAGTTGAACAACTTGAATGTACTGATTCCGCCATGGTGCCTGCAGCTTCAAGTGTTGCGCCTCACGAGTCTGCAGTCACACAGCCTGTCTTGGATGCTCTTGCGCGCCTGGAGAACGCAGAGGCAGAGGCTTTAGCTGAAGGTGTTGCCAAGGCATTTGATGGTGCAATTGCCGATGTGTTCAAATCGCATGTTCAGAAAAGCTTGACGACATTGTTGGAAGAAGGCAGCGAGGGCATCAAAAGTTCTTTGGAGGGTCAGGTTCTGTCAGCGAGATTGACCCCGGCAGTTCTTGAGACTCTGACTTTCCTACGCGATGACGTGGTAGGGTCTGGGATTGAGTCAGCAGCTGGGATAGGAACGGCCATTGCCAGGTTGTCCCGTGGAGGTTGGACCTTTTTCCAATTGGTTCGGAAGGGGGTTTCAGACATTGTGACCCCTTTGAATCTTCGGCTTGTGTTCAATAAGTCAGACTGGGCTATTCAGCCAATGGCAGTTCTTGCTGGCAACAAGCATTCTCAGACAATGACAGTCTCCTCAGTAGACGACGCCCGTAATGTCGTTTTGTGCCTGGATGCCTTGCCTTTGGAAGTGTTGCTACGTTTGTACAAGTGGGAAACACAGCCTGAGCTGCAGTACTTGTTGCCGGAGGTTTCCTTGTTCGAGTCGTTGTCCAAGCCTGATGCAGATGCAGTGTCCAAAGCCTTGCCTGTGCTATTGGCAGACTTGCTAGCAGAGGGTGGTTTCTTCTTGCAAGGAGGAGACTCTGACTTTAAAGTGAAGTCCAGCATGTTGCAAGCAATGCAGGCGCATGAGCTTGTTTGCTGCAGCGAGGGCCGTGCTTGGCAATTGACAGAGAGAGGGAAGAATTCTGTCAAGATAGGGCAAGTGGTTGGCAACTACAAACGTGTTGTGCGACCTCGTGACATTGCTCTTGTAGACATGGAGGTTGCTGAGTTGATGCTTACTCTGCACACGCAAGGGTGGAGACATGAGATGGTCCACCCGAAAAGATGCACTGCTGAACCTTACGTGTTTGAAACAGGCGCCAAAGTGTGGTATCATGATGTTGGCAAAGAATCTGTCAGCAAGCAATACCTTTTGTTGCTAGCAACTGCTGAGGAGCACAAACGCCCAGTGCCTCATTTTGCATCGCAGCGTGTGTGTGACGAGCTGTTGGGCAAGGAGTCGGCGTCAAGGCCCCCCTTGAAGCGCAGCGGCGACAAGCTTGTGTTCTTAGAGAATGATGAGCTATGGGTAGATGAATCCACACTTGCGCCTTTAAAGAAGAAGAGACAGGTCCGGAGTTCCAAGGCCACGAAGCAGCTTGTTTGCCCTTTGCATGATGAAGTGCTAGATGGCTTTCCCGAAGCTGTCAACACCATGGAGCCCAGTCTGGGGGCTGTGCAGGAAGATGATGTGAATGATGATGCAGATGGTGTTCATGTTGAGCCTGGCAATGAGCAAGTGCAGGAATGTCAATGTGAGCCAACACCGTCGCCGGCAGAGCTTTTGTCACAGCAGGCAGGTGATGCTGCCAACATCAGCAGTTGTGACTCTAGCAGTGACTCTAGTTCTGAGTCTTCCGCTAGCTCAAGCAGCAGTAGCAGTAGCAGTAGCAACTCAAGCGCAGCGCCAAAGGCTAAAGCTAAGGCATCCAAGGCGGCCAGTAGCAAGCACAGGACCAGGAACATGAGCTCCTCTGTGATGTGGGGGGCATGCAGGCTCACGCCCACGAAGGCAGGTTGGCAAATAACGTGTGCCCGCCCAAATCACAACCCGGTTGGGGCAACAGCGCTTTGCACTAAGACCCGATCCAATGCAATCTCCAGTGAGGCAGATGCGTTGAGAATGTTGAAGTGTTGGGCTTTGTGGGGCAGGACAGCCCCCACCAAGGATGCCCATCGCGACGTTTGGAAGAGAGTTACCAGGGCTCTCAAAAACAACACATTGCCCAGCATGCAGGATCTTGATTCCAACCCAGTGCAAGATTACCCAGACTAGGCAAGACTCAGACCAGTAGTTGCAGCTGCAGCAGAATCGTTCATGCATTTGCGTGGAAAAACATGAAAGACTCTTTCTGTGCACCCACCGCCTGCAACATGAAGCTTTTTTGGTGTGAAGACACATGATGTTGACGCATGGGAATCCTTTGCAGACCCCTGAGACATGTGGTGTGCTGTGGATTTGTTGCAGTTCCGCTTGATGTGATAAGTAGAGGGTGGTTACTGCTCGCGCTCTGAGAATATTTATAATACAGGTATAAATACATTTACATACTTATAGTTATATGACCCCTAAGATAGACTGTTCTAGGGTGTGGGCGGTAGCCAAACTAGTCGTGATGGAGCACTTGTGGAAGGCTTTCTCCCGCAATTGGAAACAGGTGCAATGAAACTCCTCTAGCCTGGTCTATAAGGCCCTTGTTGTCGCAAAGTTCCCGAAATGCCGTCCGAAACGCTGTGGGCCCGTAACTGCTGTGTGCTCGAAGCGTGCTCGAAGTGTGCTCGAAGTGTGCTCGAAACTGATTGCTGTGCTCGGGTGACTGCTGAAATTTTGCTGGATTGGGCCCGCGGTGCTCGAAACTTGCCTCTTCGTTATGAATTCGGGTGCTCGAAGTTTGGCCTGGGATTTGGGTCCAACCGGGGCTGGCATGCCGGGGCTCGAAGGGGCTCGAAGGGCTCGAAGGTGCTCGAAAGTTTTTGCTGCTTTCAGAGTCTAAGGGCTGCAGAGGTTCAAAAGAGGTTTCGCGCCTTTTGGGTTGCCGCTTTCCGCACCAACAGCTTTGCAGCCGCAGAAGGTTACCAGAAACGGGTTCAGACGCAAAACAATTGTCGTTTTGTGGATTCCGCAAACTCCGCAGACCGTCCAAGCGTGCAGCAAGCCAAGGTGAAAGGTTTTTTAGGTTATCGGAGACACACTGATGTCATGTCAAATGAGAAGCCATGCGTGTGGACTTTTGTGGAAATGCCAAAACATGACTTCGGTTTTTACTTCTAGTTGCTTC